GGGCAGAGGGAAAGAGGAAATATTCAGCTTGTAAAGGTCACTAAGTGAGCAGAATAAGGGAACTCATGGAAGACTTATTGCAAGGATTAAATACTTATTATCCAGTCAGATAACTATGCAAACATCTTACTAAGGCAGAATTTTAACAATCTTGCTCAAGCCTGCCTAATCACAAGCTTTTCCTAATGTACAAATATAAAATATTGTTGTAWCTGAAAGAAGGACTGATAAAAGTAACTAGAGTTTTTTCAATAGTGCAGTTGTTGGAATGATACTCTTCTAATTGCATTACTCTTAGCTTGAATGCCATGCTTCAGAAGAAACTTTGTGGAGAACTGRATGAAGAGTAATTTGCAACAGTTCAGTTTTGGAGATGTGGAATAATCCTGCTGGTAATGCAAAAGATGGCAACAGCTTTACAAACCTGGTAGTGACCATTTCAGCAGCTATGCTTCATGAAATGCCACTATCCATATGCTTGTTTTGATAAATCCAGGTGATGGATACCCAGAAGGTCAAAATAGTTTTTAACCCTGGTTAAAGACTCTCAGCAGTACACTTTAATATGGCATCATTATTTTAACCTCTTACAATCACTTAAGCAAAAGAAATAGGGATTTTTTTTTTTTCAGAGAACAGTCTCCCTTTTGTAATCATGTTTATTTTCAGTCAAGAAACCACACTCAATTTTTATGTTTTAAAGGCAGAAACAATAATTTCTATCGCTTCTGACACAACCTATTTCGAATGCAGAACGACAAGGAAGGCAATTAACTCACATTTTTCTACATAATAATATAAGTTAGGGCTCTAAGGCTTTGTCTACACTGGGGAAATTTAGATGAGTTTCTCAGGGTTGCTGACACTGGCTTGGCCAAGGCACTGTTAGGAATGTGGAAGGTCTAATGCAGACAAATTCACCAGGCTCAAAAATTGCCATCAGCAATTAAGGCTTACTTGGAACAGAATGGGAATACCATTCACAGGTATGAATATTTCTGCACAAATAATCCAAGAACTCACGGGTGAGACTCATTCCCTCTTTGAAAAAAAAAATAAATTTAATGTGCCTATTGTTTAGCCAAAAATAGTCCAAAGCTATGTCACCATCCTTCCATAATTCTTTTACTTTGTTAAAGCCTCCATTTCTTAAAAGATATTTCAACTTTGAATAATCTACTCCTGAAATACTTCTTAAAATTAAGAATCATTTGACATGTTCCTTTTGAATAAAAGAAGGAAGTTGAACRCTTGAGTTATTTTCTGAGAAAGTAATTTTTTTCATCAGCATTTCTGTAGAATAAACCCTAAAAGATCCTTTATAATACAACCTCCTCACAACATGGATCTGGTTCTTTGGGGCCTATCACCACACCACTCGATATTTAAAAGCTACTCCTCACCTGAACAGCACTTTCAAACAAAACTTTTCCTATTTAAAAGCCAAATCATTAAAACACTGCTGGAAGGAATATGGTTACAAATGAGGATATTGGCAGAAATCCAATGTTATTGGGAGGGTAGGATATTCACACTGCCCGCTGCCAGTGGTGATTAATTAAAAGACAGTGGATACCCAAAGCCCGAACAGTTCATCCAATAAGATTCCCATTGCAGGAATGACCTGCTTTTGCTGACAAGATATTTATGCAACCAAAAGAAGAAAAGGGAAATCATGATAGCAAAGCTCAAAGACACAAAGATRTAAAGATATATTCATGTTTTATTTACAGTCCCAGTGTTTAGTCTGGTGGTTTTACATATCAGGAGAGGTGAATTCTGTCTCCACAGTATTGTTAATCAAGAAATCTGCACAAATTAGGCAGTAGAACCRCAGAGATCTGAGCCTAAAACCCCTGTGACTGTGGAGCAACAGAGAAGTAATGGAAGAGCAAATGAATGTGGAGAATGCGAAAGATGACAATGGCAAGGATAGAGGAATGATGAAAATAGTAAGTAGTGAGAGGAAAAAAAAAAAACAACCGCCAATCCTTGTTTATGTGTTGTTGTTACAGATCRGGTTTGCAGCAATTGCTTCAATTTCCTTGAAAACAGTGCAAAATTTGACAATTATGAAACACATCTTCCTATAAGTATGAAGGATTTTGAATTTTTTGCAATTTGTAGACTTGTTTGAAGTAGTTTGAATACTAAATCACACAAGAGGACACCCTCACCGAAGTCCAGTTCCTATGATATGGACATGGAGAGACAAATCTTTTCTGTCAGCCACACATCCTGCTGGCACCTTCTCTCCAGATGCTGGATGAGCATCATGTTGTGTACTAAATAATGATCGTATTTCCAACAAATGCATTTTCACACACAACAAAAAATTAGATGTTGAGATTTTACTATGTAACTGAAAAACTCAAGATTAATAAGACACCRTCTTAATGAAGCAAGCCTATCAAATCATCAGATGACACTGAAATCAAACTAGAATAAAGAAAAACAACCTCAAAACACCCACCTWACAGACTGTGTGCTAAGAAAAAGCTAATAGGTGCCACAGGAACAGAGTCCTGAATTTGCTCTCKAAAATAATCTGTGATGCTCTATAAAACCACTATGTGTGTATAGCACTTTATAATATAAATCAGTAATACGAACCACAAAGAGAAATCCAGGTAGCAGGACATCCCATCTGCCCCACTTCCCCAACTGTTTGCAAAAATGAAGCACATCAGCAGTGTCATAGTGGTTTTTTGGCTCTTGGGTCAGAGAATCTGTTTCTGGCAATCAGCCTGTGAGCACATACAACTGAGCTACACAAAGATTCAAAATCCAAGTAACAAGAACCAAAGATCAGATTTGTGGGAATTCATACTGCTTTATATGCCTACTCCTAAATAAAGTCTCTGTTTTCAGCTGTTTAGATAATTAAAAAATAAAATCAAAACAACTCAAAATAGGTCTCTGCAGTCCATGAAGTAGACTGAGCAGAGCAGAGCAGCTGAAAATGGTTAATTAGTCAGAACCAAATCCATATTATGYGAAACAGACTTCTTCTACTCATTTTGTTATATCCTGCTTTGTCAATTATGTATTTATTTCATTAATATGATCTTAGATTATTTCTGCAAATCTTTGGAAGTGACCTGAACAGGAACTAAATAAGCATGGTCTTTAAACACCAGCTAAAAAGGATGACTTCAGCTGTACATAAGGTGCTTTTGAGTTCAAGGAAATAAGTTCAATACAAAGCACTGGTAAAGACTTCACAGCTGMACATTCACTCCCCTTGTGTAGATAATCTTGTTTCTAGAATAAGAATACAACTGCTACACACACCCCTTTGACTATTTTACCTTGATGCACATTTTCTCTCATTGAGGAAAAATAGGAAACACTTAAATTTGAGTTAGAATAATATATTTTGGACTTAAGYTACACAGATTAACTTGTGTTCCCACAAAGATGGGTTTATACTGTGGACATGGGTTCCTAAGCACTCAGTGCTTATTGATCAGGTTTTCTAAAGCCAAGTTCTTTCTTAAAGTAATCTCAATATGAAATAGGTAAAATAGACAACCTGTTATCTCACAAAAAAGAAACTCCTCTAAGGCTGTGCTGGAAAGAAATGAATTACTTACCTTAACTATTTTCAACTATACCATGACTAGTTTGATACCTATTATGTGATGTTCATTTTGTAAAAACCTGACTGCCCTCTCCTTTAAAGCACACCAGCCASAGAGACCTAACTGTCCTTTGGTTTGCATGAGGATTTCAGAGAGGAAAATCTCGCTAAAACCTGTCAGCACGTGTGCACTGAAATCCCAGAGAGCTAGCACGTGCTCCTTCTCCCCAGGCATCATTTTTGACAGGGAGAAAGGATGACACAAGGGTTCATCCACTTTGCTGTTTTGCTTGTCCTTCTTGGCATCTTGTATACGTGTCTTGGGACCATCCCAAACTGACAGGACTTGAAGACTTCCAGTCTGAGGCCAAGACCCTGCTCTCCCTGCCCTGAAAGTGGTAGAGGGCACTTGAGAGAAAAATACAAAAATGCAATGCGCTTTTAGTTAAGGCTCTGAGTGGACTCAGGTGAACTGTACTCAATTCTTGGCTTTGCAATGGATTTTGCCTTGCTACAAAACCTCCTGCCTCACACAGAAGTGTTTTGAGACAGTATGTTAATGTTTGACAGATGGTAGGACTCTGTTTTCATGGGCACACAGTGTGGGAAGCAGGACAGAGCTCAGGATGTCGGGAAGCAGAGCTACACATCACACCAAGGAGCCGCAGTTTCCATCTTCCTGCACATCATCTTTTACACCCTGTGCAGTCACTTCATGTGTTTAGTATTCCCACTGCTAAAATCTATTTGCACGAGGTTTGTCCCTGACATTACAGAAGATAAAGTTATCACAGTTTTATTGATTGAGCAGAGACATCTACATTATGTTTTCCATTACTATTATGCCATGCAGGCTGATGAACTGACATACTAAAGCAAGTAGAGATTGAGAAATACAGAAAAAGAAAATAGGGGGATAAGATGACTCAGCCAAACCTGCAGCCCTGCAGATTCCTGAATATTCTGTACTCTTTAAAGTTTCTGTGACAGAACAGAGCTCCCTGGCTATCATTTCAGTATTTCAACTTGAARATAGTACTTGGCAGAAAGCATTTAACAAACAGAAGTTACATGCCTCATGTTGAAATGTATCACACAGACCTTATTATGCAGATRCAGGAAGAAAAATACACCTTCATTTTGACAAGGAAACTCAAAACTTTAAGTAGTACACAGAAAAGCACATAAACAATGATTAATAAGCACTTGTCTAATGAAGGTGCTTCTAGTGGTAGAATGAGGCTGCTGTTCCTAATTAGAAAATATAATCCAGCTTTAATTAATCAACTTCAAGAAAAATGATAGTATAAAATAATGGCATAGCAAATACTACCTGCAGACTGTACAAAAGGTAWTTTGGTAATCATCTGCTGCTGACAATTCATCAGATATAACAAGGTAGAGCAAAAGAACTCACCTCCCGAGGACAGATAATTCTCTTGGGACGTGGAGCCTCTTGTTGCAATTGATACACTGTCAAACACAAAAAYGTACAGATCATTAGAAGATGGCAGCATACACAAACTTTTATTCAGATGAGTCTTTTTAGCCAGGGGCTGCAGAGAAAAATGCAAATGTAAAGAAAATGACAGCAAAGCAAGGTATTTCAGTGTGCCTAAGTCATTTATATGAAAATCAGTTGTTGACCTGCAAACTAACTCCAGTGATCAATGTTTTAACTGTTAAGAGTATTATCCTTTTGTACTGCTTCTTACATTTCTATACCAGGGAAGAACAGCCAGAAAGACTTGTTAGGTTTGTCTCAGGATAAAATCCCGCTTTTGCATATACCATGCTGTAACAACCCAAGAACAGATTGTTTACCAGCAACACCAGCAGTTTTTTGGATAGGCCGAGAAAAAGTTCAGTGCCTTTGAATGGGTTCATCAAATCTCATAATTTATTTCAAGATTTGCTGGCAATTGCTGAGCAGCAAGAAAACATTCCTTCCAGAGCAATTATACCCTATTCAAATGGCCCTGGATCAATTTTGCAAATCTTCTGAGGGCTGGAGGAGAGAGACCTGAGGCTAGGGGTACTTGCTGCCTGGCCCCCAGACTSTTCACTGCATGTATTTAATGAGATCCTCTCCCTCCCTTCCACTCCAGAGTCGTGAGAAGAAGCTGACATGCAATGACAGTAATCAATTCCAGCACAGACAGACTGTCTCTCCTTAACTCCMGTAAAAATCCCAAAGGTTTGGATTGCCTCCCTCGAGAAAGGCCTTCTGTATGCTGACCTTCTTGTACTCGGAGAGATTGTGTCGTGTCTATGAATTTTTTTAAAAGAACTGAGTTTCCAGGATTCGTTTATTCACAATGTTAGCAAAGCTCAGAACCATGCCCTGAAAGGTGGCAGATTATGGGAGGAATAGAAACATCTGTAGGTTTGATAAATGCAGAAGCCCTGCAGCTGAAAGTGAACTGAAAGGGAGGTGTTAGCCTTCAGCACCTTTTCCCACTTCTACACCTTCTCTTTTAATGGGGCTGGAAGCAATGAAATCTGGGAAGTGGGGAAATCCTCAGCCTGCATCCAAGTTGGTCCCACAAACTTGATGGGATGTGAAAGTTTTGGGGCTCCTYTCTGCTCATGTCAAAGTGGAAAAATACATAACCTCTTTTTTTMCCGACCCAGCCTTCATCCCTGGTTYTTTGAAGTGGCACAGAAAGACAGTTTGTGATTTCTTATACTCCCTATCAATTTTAATGCATATGGATGTGATCCGGCTCTAAATTTATACTAAAGCTTTGGATTTACTCTGCATCATTCAGAACTGTCAGATCTCCTGCCACTTTTGTGCAAGATCTATGATAACTTGATAATATTTTGATAGCTTGATGATAAATATGGTCTTTCTTATCTCTATGACCAAGATTCAAAGACCTCTACTCTTTTGAGATCAAMGGACTTGTGTTTCCAAATAAAATATCAAAAAACACATGAAAATTTTGTTCAAAAATCACAGATTTTTTTCTTAAACCTCTGCTTATTCTGGACCCCGAGTATCATGATTTTAAAATTAAGTTCTGAATGTCTGAAATCAGTATACCCACTGACTGAGCATGTTACTGATGCTTAATACTAAACTCAACCAAGAGGAAAACAGCAATTTTTCCTTCTCATTTCCAGTGGAGAGAAGGAACTCTAAGGATTCAAAACATAGCAAGATTATGATTGCTTCTCATTTAAAGTAAATTATCTATTTCCCCAATTAATTAATTTGAATGTGAACTGAAAAATCATACTTCATAAAAATTTTTCTTTTTCAATAATCAAATCTTTTAAACATTAACTGACACAGAAAATTAAGCTAGTGGAGCTGTTTCTAAGACACCTTTGATAAGAATGAGGCAAAACAAGTTRCTCTGAAGAACATATAGGAAGCCTATTTTGTGATGTGCTGCATTTTCGAGAAAGGAAAAAAACAAAGATCTCTCTAACATGACCAAAGAGATCTCTGAGGCTGATAACACYGAAGAAGCAATGGTGGGGCGAAGAGTCAGCATTTCACAAAACAAAGGAAGGAATGATTAACAGGAAAAGGTAGATACATGAAAGACCTGAAAGTAAACACAAAAAACTGGGTGCTTGTAGGATGTAGTGGGATAAATCAGGGATTCATGATAAATGCAAGACAAATCATCTTAAYAACTGTATTTTGAATAGACTGGAAAAGGTTGCTGTCATTCTCAGACAGAGGCCAGTAATTAATCTGCACAGTAATATGTGAGAAATGTATCTGATTTAGAAGTATATCAGAAGAAAACATAGTAAGATTATCACTATACAAATAAATAATTACAAGTTATATGCTAAATATGCTGGATGAGAATATGGCCCAAGCACAACTGAGATTGTGAATGGTGGTAATCACAGAAAGTGTCACAAATGGGAAATGGTTTCCTCTGAAAGATAAAGAATCCAGATTTGGCCATATTAACTTTAAATTGATAGAGATTAAACCGACAGAAAGACAAACCAGTGGAACGACTGGAGGGAGAAACAGACCCATTAGATGGAGGGAGAGAAGACAGATTGGGAGCAGAGAAAGGACTGAAAACCATCGGTGTCACTGTGGTAAGGGACTCCAAACAGCTCAGTGGGAGACAAACAACAGAGAAGAGACAGACAGACAGACACACAGCTGCCAAGGATGCCCAGAAAAGACACAGAGCAAGGAGAAGGTAAAACAACAGTGRAAGTTTAGTTAAGTGGAAAACAAGGCAAYGCAGTACCTCACAGACTAAGGCATTAAGGAGCAAGGCCAGTGTGACTCTACCAAAAGCTGTRTTTTCCTTTAGCAAGGTCTCTGCTSTTTCTGTTTCAAATGATTGCTATGAGAAAGCCTGCTAATGGGCTATGAATACAAGTGCAAGATTATGGCTAAGGTGACTGGAGAAAAATGTGCCCTACAGCTAAGTTCCAATGAGCACAGACACCTCATTAAGTGACCTCATTTTCAGAAGTGCTGAACATCCTGCAGCTCTGCCTGATTTCATTACACACTGTTTCCAAAGYGCTGGGCACTCGCACTGAGGCTGACATTGCTGAGACCCCATCGCAGTCCAGGGGATGGTCAGAGGTTCAGAAGGCACACATCCCTCACCCACTTGCTCAAATGACAAACAATCCTTGTCTTTCTGCCTATTTTTCCATTTCTGAAAATCTTAAAACAGAAATCAACGTATAAGACTATGGTGAAGTGAAAKAATAGAAAAACACACTCATTTAATGCAGTGGCAAGCAGTGATTGACACCTGACCCAGTCTCTTCCAGCATTTAGAACTGACAGGCAGGTTACAGACAAACCCACTGTGATCATGGAAAAATGACACTCGAACATAATGATGCATTATTATTTTAGCCCTGAGAAAATTAACCTTAYAAAAAGTCAATTGCATGCAAAAAGAAAATGTATTATTACTGCTCAGAGAACAGCATCACACTGGGAGTGGTTTTCTGTTCAGCATCAGATGCAAATGAAATGCACAGTATTAATACATACTAAATATCAGACAAAAGTGCAGAACTCCARCAGAAAAATGCAGTAGCTTTTATCTGACCCTTGAACATCTTTATCAGTTTCRTACTTCAGATAGTTTGCCAGCATTCATAGTATCATAATCACATTGGAACTTACAGTGTTAACAAAACTTTAATTTATTATTKAATAACTTGAGGAACATTTCTTTGAGATGTAAAGTAGCTGGTTAGAATATATCTTTCTCTCTTTTGTTCCCGTTAGAGCACGAGTCTTATCTCCCAGGGATGAAAAAGGGAAATTCTACATTACATACACTGCAATATGTTTTAGGAAGAACTGTGTCATTCGAAAATCCAATCTGCCTAAGAAACAAAGGGATGACACGCAAAAATCAACACTTACTCCTTTTTTGCCAGGGAAGAAGGGCTATCACCCATTTCTTCATACTTTTCTCATTCTGCAGTGTGTCAGGACCTCTAGCTTTCTCCTTTAACTCACCTATGATGAGTGTTCAGTGATGCTCCAGCGGAGAGGAAAAATTCCTATCATTGTTTTTATAAAGCATCAAGGAAACATACTGCCTTCTGTCTCAGAATGTCTCGCAGAGTTCCTCAGTTTTACCTCCTCAGCCTCATCTCAGTCAGGCATTTTGTCCATGTGCTGAGCCTGAACAATGTGAGCTGTCCTATTTCTGCAGGATTACTCACATGCTTAATTAGGAACCTAAGTGCTTGGCTGAAACAAAGACTTAATTTCTAACAAAAAAAGAGTCTCGGACACTGTGCTTATTATTTGATGAAGGACAGAAGGCAGGGAAACTTGGTGAGGAGCTGAAGCATGGCATCAGCTGATGCTCTGTGCCTTGCCACTTTGCTTCCCACCAATATACCGATCTTGAATAATGCAAACAAACATTGAGGTGGCATTGACACATGGCTGACTCAGCACACGCCAATCTCAACAGCAGTAAAAGGAGGAAAGGAGTGGTTTTAGATCTCTTCAAAATGCAAGCACATACGTGCTRTAGCTGGAAACCAACCATGACTGTGCTGTTTCAGCCAAACCAATTGCCTGCTCCTCCCATGAAGCAGGTGAGGTGAGCAGGTTCTCCTCTAAGAGGACAGTGCAGCACGAGAGCAGGGTACCCACAAAGGTGGCAGAGGCTCAATCCCTGCAGGTTTTCAGGACTCAGTTATGTAAAACCATGGMTCCAGAGCCAACATTAGTCATGTTTCGAGTGGGAAGCCAGATCAGCTCACCCCAGAAGCCCTTCCAACCTACATTCTGTGATTCTTACCTCTCTTTCTTTACTGCCTCAGTGACGGTAAAGGCAAAACACCATTTTTGACAAGACTCCTAACACATGGCAGACTACAGAAAGAAACCTGTTATTGGATATTTATTTGATCTGCTGCTGAGGTAAGAAGTCAAACAAACACACTGTCTAGAGTCTGCTGGCAGCTAGAAATTTTCCAAACTTTCCCCCAAGTTCCTTCCTGTTGATACAAAATTATTCTTGCCATTTCTTTTATTTTCTGTGTCCCAGGGCTACCAGAAAAAGTCTGAAAAGCTTTGTGACCTGTGAAATCTATGTGAAATTCTAACAATTTTTCATAAGCAAGTGCGGATCTTCTGCATTAGAAGTGTCCATGTTTTCCAAATTTAGATGAAATAAAATTATAACAGTATGTCAAATCAGTAATGCTTCAGTTCTGAAAACTGTTGCACTTTGATCAGCATTTTTCCATGGACATGTGCAATATTGTTTATTTGGATACTTTGTTGGCATAARCAGGAAAATCTGCCTTTGTTTAGGAGCTAGGATTGAAGCCTTGATCATGATGTCAATAAAAGGCAACATAGTCACCTAAATTTATCCAGSACTTAAAAGAAGAAATCAAAACTGTATGCAAAGTATCTTACTTTAGTTTGCTAGCAAACTGTGGAAGTCACTGGGTAAAATACACTGAAAATGATTGTTAAATAGGCAGCAAACACAAAGTGTTAAGCATGAAATATACACATAAATTAAAACTGTCATGAGACAGGACAGTAGATTGAAACACAGACAAACACTACTGCTGGACATAACCTCTGTAATTGATTCATCAGWTCAGAATTTTTCTAGCTGGGTAAAAAGAAGCACACATTACTACGATTGCAAAGAAAAATGTGTATCTGTGGCTAAGCTGTTTCAGCAGTAAATCTTTCTAAGCTTAAACTGTTTTCTGTGTTTTGGAACTGTGTAACTTTTTCCAAGGTCACTCATGCATGGAGTTCAGATGCTGAGGCCATGATTTTATAACCACAATACTGGCATCCTACATACAGTAGGAAATTATATATTCATAGACTATTCATCTGTTCTGRTTTTGTTGGGGGTTTTGTTAGTTTTTTTTTTTCCATTTAAAAAAAATGTTTCCTTGGACTACATGTAAGCTATCAAATAAAAGTAACCAAACCTTTCCACTGCATGCAGTGATCTCTCTGCTGCACAAGCAGTACAACTAAGAGCAGGTAAGTAAAGGTATGTGCTTATTTCCTGACTTCTTAATGAAATCTTCCTGCTAAGAAGAAAATACCTGTCATTTGGAATGCTGGTCTTCTCAGAATCAATGGGAGCCTTTCCATTGATTTGGAGTAAAACCAGGTTCCTCTTTTAAAAAAAAGTCACTCAACTGTCACACACAGTCACTCAACTGTCAACACACTCAGCAAAGTATGCTGGAATGGTCCAACACAAATGGATGTGCTCCTGCTGACTTCTTAGGAGGTTTCCCTCATATGTTCAAAATATTACAGCAGCAATAACAACAAAAACAAAAAGTATCTAGAAAAAAGTGTTCTGAGAAGCAAGTTCTGTAATTTAATGGCATATTCAAACTTTGGTTGAAAAAAATCCCAGTCCATTCTGGGGCAGAATGTCATTCTCARGTAACACAGAGGTGATGTCTTTGAAGTCAGCAAGACAGCTTAATGTGCATATAWGTGAAGTCAACAAGTTTATTCCAGTCTTTAAAATTACACATGTACATGCATGCAGCTACTGTGATCACTGTCTTTTTGTAGTTGCATTTTGGTAATGGCACTGTGCTGAATTTGCCACAATAAAAGAGACAACTTTTGCTTAGGATAGTTCCGTATCTGAAAACAAAAAAAATAAAACAGCTCTCTATACMCAAAGCTACATTCTTATTAAAGTTCCAGGAAGGCTTTAAAATAAAAAGATCAAATTTAAATGCCATCCTTAATAAGGGATTTAAAAGCCAATATTTTGTCTTAGATCTGTGCCACTCTATTAGAAAATACATTTGGAACAAAGCAAAAGAGCATAAAATATGCACTTCTGCACTGCACTCTATGTAAATKATTTTTCTGAAGGCAGACAGGAAGGTTCAAAGAGCTGATAATGCTGTCTCCAACTTTTAAACCACTTCAGAAATCATCTTCTATTGCTAAGGATCAAAAATATTATTATCTTAAAGTGATTTGGTGACCCATATAAAAAGACTAGTCTTCTCAAGCCTGACCTTCAGTAAACACACAAAGCATTAACCTCTACCTCTGAAATCCTTCCTGAAAATCTCAGCAGAGAAACCATGAAACCCAGSAGTAAGGCAATGGAGGAAATCTGGCACACATAATCCTTGCCCTTGCTCCATRGAAATCCATAAAAGTTCAGGTTTTKCTGCAGTCCCATACAATAATTTGTGCAAGCACCTCGTACATTTATGCCTTTCTTCCAAACAAAAAAGAGGAAAAGACCTAAGAACGATTGACACCTTGGTAAAGCATTAAGATTATCCAAATTTCTTGTATACTCACAGTATGATTTCCATATTGGAGGCTGGTACTCTTCAGCATCTAAAATAGAAACAAAAATGGGGAAAGAAATCAGTCAATTGGSCACTGGGTCAAACTGTCAGCATGCATTTTTCTGCTGAGAGACCTCTACTTGTCAGCAAAATYCACATTTCTTTCCCAAGAGAGATGATAGCCTATTTACAGTACAGTTTGCTATGTGAGAGAAGAATACAAATTTCAAACCACTTGTGGATCCAACAGGCTTTTCCCAAATTATTCAAATATAAAAGAAATTTTTTTAGCAATTTTCAATACTCACCAGTATTTTAAAAATAATTAACTAGACTGGTAACTACATTATTTATTTTCTTTACCTGGCTTGATAAACAGACAAATCACTACTGGTTTTCAATGAGGCTTCTAACCCCACTAGTAAGAGTTGAGAAGGAGCATCAAGGAATAACACACACTGACTAAAAAAATGAACAGCTCAGGCTGGACTGAGATGCACAGACCTGACAGTTCTTCTTGAACCCACTAGAATATSTAATTGGCTTATTTTCCAGAAGCTGAATCAACAAAAATGACATGAAAAGGATAGAAAAARAAAAGATTGCCAGCCTGCCATTATAAACAGGTTACATTATTGACTAAAGGGGCACAGAGAGTTGGTGTCTTTTGTTAGTGACCACTTCACAGGGAGATTTCCAGCTCTCTGCAAGAAAGTCAATGGCTGCAACATGCATAAATCCCAGCAGCAGCCAGGCTGGAGCAGAAGGAACAACAGCAGCGACAAAGGTGGGGTACTGAGTCCTAGTTTGTCTCTGAACTGTCATGCTGCCAAACCCTTTAAAGTCATTTACCAGGGGTATGTCATTAACTTCTCAATACTGTKCAGGTCAATTAAGGTGTTTGTTATTTACTAAACTTTCACTTAAGTTATGCTAATATAATTCAATTATAGTTGCACAGCTCATGCTCCTTGTCTATTTACATGCACACAACTACTTTAAATATATTCCTGCAAAAGTCTGTTTACTAGGAATGTTAATCACTAACTACCATCTGCCACTTTTAACTCTATTGTTTCAAAAGAGGATAAATCTAGCAACAATCACAGTCTGGAATAACACCTTGCAACAAAATTTATAGATATATCGATTGAGAAATGCATTCAGTTTCAGTTTCAGCTGAATCCACCTCACAACTTTGACAMAGTTCAAAACTCTCGCAGACTGACAGAGTTACACTGTGCTGTGGCAATCCAAGACTAATTAGCTCACAAGTTCATTATGCAGAAGACTTATTTTAAATTATAYGAAACTATTCATGAGACGAATGAAATTTATTCATACAAGAACTGACTAATTTTTTCTCTTCTCAAATTATAATAGTAATATGTCATTCCTTTTTTTCCCCTATACATCTGTTACTTCACATACAGTTTACCGTAACACCAAAATATTGTGTATTAAATTCTTCTGTCAATACTTCTGTACTACTACAAGAGAATTTCTGAATTTCCTTCATCACTTAACATATTTTTTCCAATAGTAGAAACACTGAGATAATGTGAGTATCTTTTTATCTGTACTTGGGAACTTCAGATAAGGAATTAATAGGAGGGAGAAACAATGAAAAACCAACGCGTATCAGTTGTTGCTTTAGTCTTCCGAATTAATTAAAAAGTACACAGTAAATTCAACAGTGCAAGCTGATCTACAAGCGGCCATAAAGTGCTTCATTAGCTGGAGACAGACTGATGGTGAGGAAACACTGCAGCCGAGATGGAGAATCACCCAGGAGCGAAGTCATAAAACAAAACTCCCAGTGATTGCATTTGATTTGTCACCGTTATGAATCTGTCAGCCCCGGAAAGAGTGGACAGAACCATTCCTCAGTAGCTAAAATAATTCTAAAAGACAGCACATGGAGGAAACCCACCAGCTCCCCATGCACCCTTACAAGGTACTGCTACACCCTGTGTGATCCCTTCAGCTGAAAGCATGTCCCTAAATCACAGGGAACAAAATGCCATCGAGGTGATAGCATTAATAAAGCTTATTGTCAAGCCATGATGCGTTTGATGGCATCCACTTGCAGGGAAATAAGGAACAAATAGTTTAAATACAACTTGGAGACCAGAGTCACGGTTGAAGATCAGGGAGATATCTAATGGAATCCAGACAGAAACCTCTTGCTTCCTTTGTGGCAGAAGGCTGCTGGGCCCCTGTTTAGACAACTCTCATCCTTGTATGGTAAAATCTTAGGACTCCCCCATCCTGGTTGACCAAATTAGACTGAACTTCAGCCCTTCTGAAGTCAGAGGTCAAATGAGGCAAATCTTGCCTGAGCAGACTGGATTACCACTGCTTTCCTTTTTTGAAATTTCTGTTCTTCTATATTTTATTAGTCTYCTCTATTACACAGCAGCTCTACTCACTAAATTGTGCTGCACTCTCCATTCCCACACTTAATACAGCAATTCTGGCTCACAGAAGTTGCCAATAGAAGTTTGGCTCAGTTACTACAGAACATCTCAGCTCACACAGCCTGTGATTTCAGTTCTGCAAATGGTAATGGTCTCAGCAAGGACAACAGACCTCAGCTCTGAGCCACTTAGCAAAAAGCAATCAATCAATCAATCAATCAATCCATCAATCAATCAGACTTGACACAAATGACAAATGCTCTGCATTGATGCCTCATGAAATGATATTCCTAGTAGAACTTTGATCATAATGAYGATCAGAACTGTGACTGGCAGCACRGGGAAAARRGTTCAYKGAGGAACTCTCAGGTGGTAAGACAGGGTCTTTCCYATTGCTCTTTTCTTGAAAGGTTCATATATTCTACAGTGACTTCTTGTCTAGATTCAGAAAATGTGCCATCTAAGGTTGAAAACAGTTGTCAAAGGAGAAACTCAGATCACAAGATGAGTAACAGCTCTGAAAAACCCAACAAAATATCCCAAGGTCGTCCGTGACATACTGTTCTGAGTGTCAGTGTAGAAAGGACTCACTGCAAAAGAATTACAGAATGTCCAGTTTAGGTAGTTTTAAAATTATTTTGAGTCTTCTCATAACTGCGTTATAAACGACCTTGACAAAACCAGAAAATTTTAGAGTATTAGTGGAAGGACTAGGTCTGGCAAAAAAAGCATGAGAGACTTCCACAAATAATATTATAGGCAATACTGTTAACTAGAAGCTTTGAAATGTATCAGCTGAGAAAGTGAATATTTATTAAAGCTAAAAAAGTACTAGAAGTCAATTGTATGCTAAACAGAAAGGCAAAAGGAATGCAGAATGCTGAGTCTTAAGGAATATTACAGCCATGAGAAGATTTCTCATAATGCAAAATTGACATGAGAAGATGTTGGAGAAAATTGTCAAACCAAAAATGATACTTGGAACTGGAAAATGGGAATGAGGAAAAAAACCAGGTTAGATTTTCACTTTATTTGCTTTAYTCTTCACAGAGCAGAGAAGATGAAAAGGCTCTTAGGAAAAAAYACTTTCATAAAGCTGATGGAGCACTTAAAGCTGAGTAAGTGCAGAAAGACTACAATAAAGGGAGGACTGAAAAATTGGCAAAGCTTTAAGCAGACAGATAAAAAGTAAAACTACATAAGATTTTTTTCAAAGAAACATGAAGACAGAATGCAGCCACTGCCAACAATGGGCAGTGAGGAGTTAATACATTACTCAGAGCCATTCTTAAGCAATTTCTGAGAAATRGTCTTACATTAATTATATAGTAAGTAAAGTTATCCATGGACTTCAACCCTTGCTCTTCATTGAGCCTGGCTCTGTACCAAAGTGACACCTTTCTGGATGCAGTTATGAAAGACACTGGAATGGCAGAATTGMTTTTTACTACTTCCTTGTACTTTGTGAAAATGATGATGTAATGCCAACATGAGTGGTTTTGTGTCACCAGCACTGGGACTGACTWAGCTAAAGCAGGTCTAATAAGAAACTAAGTCCAAAGTGATTCTTCTGACTACCAACACTGGTAATGCACTGGAAAGTGCAAACTATTTTGCAGGAAAGCCCACAAATTATGCCACATTAATCAAATATTTCCGACTTACAAGTGGCATTTCTGAGTATAAGGAGAACAATAACCAATATCCATACTGTAGCTACATGCCACACCCAATTCTAGATACGCTAAAAAGTATTAATGATTCCCATGACAGTGAGGAGTTAAGCAGACCAGCAGGACCAAAGCAGCCACCAAAGGGGAACTGTCATTATTTGCTGATTTCTAATAGTCTCCATGAAAAAAGAGTAAACATTTTCTTTTTTCTGCCTTTGTTCTTACTAAAGGATTATTAAAATATATTTTGCAGTTCACCTTGGGAGAACTGCCTCAGCTGGGATTCTCTGCCACCATTGTCTGAATTTTGGACTTCCTTTCCAGTAAAAACTAATTTTAAAACTATGACYTGCATGTGCAAGGAAAGACACTTGTGTGTGAGGAAAAGCCAATGTGGAAGCCACTGGTTTACTGGCAGCGTGGAGATAAATGATTCACCGGATAAACAAGTCTACTACTAATTCTTTTAATCTTCTACTGTTATTTTAGGACCAAGACTATAATTATGAGTATTTTAGTGTCCTTTGTATATCTCCTCTAAAGAGGTTTTTTCACAGGTTTACCACGTACACTTTCATATTCATTGCTTTGTTTCCAAAACATTAGGTTAGCATATATTATTAAATACATTTTTCTTACTTTATACATGTAATTATATATAGAACAATAACAAAGAACTGCTGAGTAAAAGCTTCTGTGAAAGATAAACAGTGTTTGCGCTCTTTATGCACATATTTTTTAATATGCAAATATTTTTAAAAATATTTTTCTTCATACAGACAGAATTTTATTATACAGTTGGCTATAATGTGGATGGCCATCACAGAACCACAGAATGGTTGGGGTTGGAAGGYACCTGTGGGGGTCATCTGCTCCAAACCCGTTTCTCAAGCACGGCACCTATGACGATGTCCAGACACCTTCTGAGTATCTCCAAGGATGGAGACACCACAACC